AAACTTGCAAGTTGAACTATAAGTTATGGTAACAAATTCATTTTTTAGCTTCGATGCGAAGCTGAGAAGGTATTTTTCATTAAAACTTTCACTTTAAAAGACAATAAAAAATAGGTTCAAAATGATTACCTTTAACATATTAAAAATCAAAATCAGTATTAATTTAATACAATTTTTTTTGTTCTTAATTATTTTTTTTTATATGTAAATACTTATTTTTTAATAATAAGTAATAATATTAAAACTTAGAAGTAATAGAAAAAGTTTAATTGCACATTTGAAAACATCACGAAAAGTTTATTTAGAAAAGTATATTTTTTTTCTGATCATATATCCTTTTGTTTAGTGTATTTATTCATAAATAACAAAATTTTTTTATAAAAAAGTATTGCATCAATTCCTTTAAATTTGTATACGCATTAAAAGTATATGAATATACAACTCCTTTTTATTTTTATAATATCTCCGTAAAAACTACCATATTATATTATTGAATACCACTTTCATACTCAATTTAATTACTGTAATTATTATGTATTCATATATTATAATTATAAATCGGGGTAAAATTAAGGGAATAAGTGTTATTGTTGTTTTTGAAATACTCTACCAATTTCATTTTTTCTATTTAATGATATCTATTTCAAACTCGCAAGGTGAGTTATAAGTTATGGTAATAAATTCATTTTTTTTTTTATTAAAACTTTCATTTTAAAGGACAAAAAGAAGTAGGTTCAAAATGATTACTTTTAACATATTAAAAATCGATAATAATTTGAAAATAATTAATTATAAAAATTATATAATATATAATTAAAATAATTACTAATCTGGATATAATTAAGGAAATAGGAGTTGATGTTGGGTTGGGTTGATTACATTTTTAACTTTATAATGCTATAACTAATTGAAAAGTGTATGAATCAACACAATTTTTTTATGAAAAATAATATTTATATCCGTCTTTAATTCGACATACTTTATCTTAATCAGGGTATTAATAAGGAACTAGCAGATCATGCAGCTTTTGTAATTATCCACCAATTTCTTAGAATTAAACACTATCTACTGATTTGCATCGAAGCGTTTCTTATGATAGTGATTTTAATCACTGTCAGATTAAATCTATACTGGACCCAACTATGCAACGTCCCCACTATGCCACGACTCCACTGTGCTGCGTTTATTATTATTGATATTTTCATTATTTATATTTTGATAATTTTTTTTGGAATAATACTTAATATTAAACTATAATTTATAATTAGATACATTTTTTTGTAGGTATTATACCTCACTTTTGTTGTCGTAAAAAACCGAAAATTATTGTCAGTGATATCAATTTTAAAAGCTCCATCAAACTTGTTAGGGAACAAAATATTGCTTTGCGTTCAATATTCGATGATGCTTATTATGTTAGAGAACTTTTGCGAACTAATCCAGATCAATTAGCTTTGATGGGACAGAATAATCGTCGTTTAGCGGATGCTATGGCAACAGGCAGCATAGGTACTTTTTAATGAGTCTTTTAAAAATAGGTAACATAGGTAGGTTGGGAGCAGGGAAAAGGTTTTGTGGAATTATGTTAATATGAATTTTTAATAGAAACTTAATTATTATCCTAAAAAGGGTTTGTAAGTATAAAGATAAGGTCTTCTGTTGTATAGCAATAACATATTTATGGTGGAGGAGTCTAAGGAGTTCCTTTCATTGGTGAAATCGTGGTAGCAGAATGTAGAAGAGGGGAATAGGTCCACACTATTCTAATTTTAAAAGCTATCTGGAGCCACAAACAAATAATATTTGGAGTCTTTAAAACGGTGTAAAATATAAAAATGTACATTTTACACTGTTTTGGGAGCTCTTAACCAATTAATACATTTTTAAATGTAGTAATTTCGAATAATCATTTTATACTAAACCAATGTTATCATATCATGATAATATTTTAAACTGTTAAATAATGCTAATATTTTATTAATTATTCATATTTGAATTGTTTTTACATGCAAAGGCGAATTTGCTAAGGTTATGATGGGCCAGTTGTTGGAACGGAAAAAAAAGATAAATTATTTACAAATGCTACAAAGATCTAAAACATCTGACATAAATTCTCAGAGAGAGATAGCCAATGAAATTCTTCATAAGAACATCGATGCCAACCTGGAGGCAGCTTTGGAATACAATCCGGAATTATTTGGATCAGTATTTATGTTATACATTGATTGCAAGGTTAACGGCCACCGTGTGAAAGCATTTGTCGATTCAGGTGAATAGAACTACATAATAGCCACAACATTGGCTTTTATTTTACATATACATGGTGATTTATCTATCATGAAATATTAATACAAAATAATAATAATTTTTTAATTGGTTTCTTTTATTTCCGTTTTTTTCTCTATTTCTCAATCTTGAACAATATTATCAATATTTTTTTGTCTTTCCCTCATACCTTATATAGGTTTCAACTCATATATGTGATTCAACTACAGGTTGTACTTTAAATAGGCGCTCAGACTACTATTATTACTGTCCAGTGTGCTAAAAAATGTGATATCATCAGACTAGTGGACACTCGCTGGGCTGGAGTTGCCAAAGGTGTTGGAATTCAGAAAATCGTTGGTCGAGTACATTTGGTAGAATTACAAATAGAAAACAATTTTCTAACTACCAGTTTTTCTGTCTTGGATAGCCAACCAATGGAAATGTTGTTAGGGTTAGACTTACTTAGAAGATATCAAGTAAGCGGTTATTCAATAATTATTTTTATTAAAAGAACAAATAATTTTCAAATGTTAAAAAGATAATTTTTTCAATTGAAGAATACTAGAATCAAATGGGGGACCGCTTGTATCCTTACTCTAGTTATATATTTCTTATATTCTATTAAAAAAAAATATTGGAAAATCTGAAATTATTTTGAAATTAATTATTTTAAATTATTTAAAATTTTTCGATATTTTTTTTCAAGTCTTTCCTTAAGTTTTAGCTTCGATGTGAAGCTGAGAAGGTATTGGTTTTACTAAGATGTGTTTTTTTTTTTTTTTTTTTTTTTTTTTCC